TACAGATCTTGTTTCATTTTTCTGCAAATGGATCTCCAGTTTTGCCAGCACCATTTATTAAACAAACATTCTCTTCCCCATTTAATGGATTTGGGGCAAAAAGCCAACTTTTACTACCACTTCCGAAGTACCAACTATTTCGTTAGGTCTGTGACAGGCTGAGGAAAAGTGAAGATAGCAAATGGCACAGTAAAATGACATCCTCAAACCCAAGCCCATAAGGCACAAAAAGGACGGCACAGGGCCAAGCATTTTTCATCCTCTCTTTCCTGTTTCACCAAGAGGAAGCTGAAGCTCAGAGAGATGTAGTCCTTTTGACTAATAAGAGGTAGAGCAGGGACTCTCTCTTCCAGGAGCACCTGGGTTAGGCAGGATCACTGAGCCCCCCCATAAAAAGAAAGAGAGAAAGAGAACAAACCGGACCTGTCTTCCCTAGGTAAGGTGGTTCTAATATCATTCCCCTTTCAAGCTAAGGCAAGTGAGGTTTGGAGAGATACCAGCTCAGATACGACATCCTAAAAGAAAATGTCTCTTTTACTGGACAAGGCAACAAATTGGAGGAAATGGAAGAAATTGAGAGGGGAAATATCTACCTACTTTCTGAAACGTACTATCTCAAAAGGGAGGTTCTTGGGGAGGGAAGATCTCATATTTACATTACAGCCCTTGACTTTTGCCAGGCATACTGACAGGACTGAGAGAAGGTTTTGCTTACATAATTTTAACCCTTTCATGACCCATGTGACATAAGGGGCTTACCTACATTTTCTGCTTCTGGGGTTTAGTGGGAACCTGATATCCCATTTTTAGTGTATGCTGCTATCTGGTAGGGGCCTGTGTAACTGCGTGAATCTGAAGAAACAGACCTCATCCCACCAACCCCAGCACCAGAGACCGCTTGGGACATATGTGTTCCACTAATAATATCAAACTCTGTATTACCTTTAAAAAAATTTTTTTTCGTTTAATTCTAAATGCTTTCCATTACTGAAAACACATGATTTCAACAAAAAATTCAAAGAAGAAAATAATTCAGTCTTGAAAGGTTACAATTGAGTGTCATTCCCAGACCACAGCACAGGGAATTCGAGTCTATAATAAATTCTATTATTAGTTTCTTATAGCACACTTACAATTCAGTGTAATTCTTCGGTATGTTCAAGGTGTTGCTTTGTTCATTTTAAACTTATAAAATGTGCCATAATTTAACTTCTGTGGAAGCAAAGGTGTCACCTCATCCTGTCCTCACCAAGGTGAGTATGGGAGGAGAAACAGTACTTTGCACCCTTATGTAACTGAAGCCTCACCTTGTTTAGTTCTTATCCACATACAAATGAAAACCTAAGAGTTTCCTGAAAGTTACTGACTCTCTGACAAAAACAACTTTATCCCTGGCTTTTGTGGTACTGATATCTGAAGATATGTCAACCTCGGCAGATGATAATCATGCAAGAAAATTGCTGTTTTCCCCAAAGAATAGACTAATTGTAAACTCATTAAGCTTGGCAAGATTTTGGATTTTTTCCCCTCTAAATCGGTGTTGTATTTTTTTTTATTTGGATAGCCAGTCTTTCTAAGCCTGGACTCCCCTTCTTGTTGTTTCTGTGTGCCATCCCATCCATTCTGACTCATAGCAACTCTTTGTGATGGAGTGAACTGTCCCATAGGGTTTCCCCAGGCTGTAGTCTTTATAGGAGCAGACTGTCAGGTTTTTTCTCCTGCAGAGCTGCTGATGGGATCAAACCGTCAACCTTTCCATTAACAGCCAAATGCTTTAACCTTTGCAGTTACCAGGTCTCCCCTAGTAAGCTTTGCAAGTAAACTACTTTAGTTAATGGTTTAGTTGTGGAGGCTTCCTGTCCCAGCTGGGAAGGAGTCCAGGTGACTCACAACTGAATTATGAGGCCCAAGAAGGGCACCTCCTAAGTGATTTATGTTCAATCCATCTTTCTCGACTTCTCGGGTAAATTTCTTGTGGCAGTAGAGCTTTTTCCTTTCCCCATGCTTTCTACCCTTGGCCTCTTTTTCTGTACTTTTTTCCTTCCTCTGGTTTTGGTTCTGGACCAAGTCTGATTCCGTTTTATGCACAACTGCTTTATTTCTCCAAGGATGATAGTATGATTGGGAAATTGGTCTTTGAGGTCTGACTGTATATGTTAGAGTCATACCACGCCATCTTGCATGGCTCTTCCGGGTTCTTCTTCATTCCCTGCTGTCCCACCCAAGGTCATAGTCAGTTAAAGGAAGTCGAAACTGAGCTTCCTGCAAGGAGCAAATTTTAAAAGGCAACATAGCTTCTGATAGGTTAGGACTCCTTCCCTCAGCTCTGACATACAACCTCCTAACCCCGGGTCTATAGAAGACCGCCCTCTCCCCTGCTTGCTCTCTTCTTCTCCTTCTTCTTCTCCTTCTACTCCTTCTCTTTCTTCTCCTTCACCTTCTTCTCCTCCTTCTTCTCCTTCTTCTCCTCTTTCTCCT